CTGACAGGGAAGGAATTGTGAGGAAATGGGAGGGTGAGGAGGTATTTGAGGACTGGGAGAATGAGGGATTGGGGGGAGGAGAGAGAGGAAAGCTTTATTGAAGTTTTCGGTAGAGAAGGGGTAAGATGGTTGAGGAAGAGGAGTAAGGAGATGGAGCGGCAGGTTTTGGAGAAAGTGAGCTCGAGGATGAGAAGGGGGAATTGCAAGTGGAAGAACCTCCTTGGAGGTTAGGAGTGTGGTGAGGGTGAATGTGGGGAAGGGCTGAGAGCTTTGGGTCTGCGGATTTATTGCTTTTGACCCTTTGAGACGTTTGGGCAAATGCTTTGGGAGCTATGTGGCACAAGCTTCATCATAGGAAATGGATAAACGAAGAGGCCAAACAAAATAAACTAACTTATTTTCCAAGACTCTTTTAGTGTATTGTTCATCGATCCCCCCTCCTTTGTTGCAGTTGTTACTTGTATGAGAAAATGGGGTGAGCCCGAGTTTAAGTGGTCAAATGGGAATTTGTTCATAATATGTGAACACAACAGGTGATGGTAGCATGTTGGCTCGGGAAGTGAGTCAGACACGAAGGTGAATAAATTCATACGTGAGTTTCTCTCAAATCCTCACCTGCAGGAATTTCGACCAAATCAAACCTTTAGAATTCAGCTCAAAAAAGGGCAAATATAACATAATAATATTATGCTACCAGCATACCTCCTAAACTTGTACATTTCCTCTTCCCAGTACGGCGCATCAATTGAGATTTTTACATTTCCAACTTTTTCGGTGTATTTTAACGAATTCTCTTGCCCGCCCACGCACGCCAACACGTTAGACTACTTGGTAGGATGCCAGGAACGATAGGGTAGTGAGCACCACCGCCTCCCATGGGGGAGATGCCGCGCGTACTTGACCTGGGTGAGGAACACTGACCAGTTAGTCCACACTGCTCACTACCCTATCCTGCTCAGCGCCCTATCAACCAAATTATGATACCATAAGAAATCCGTGGAGTCCACCACCAGATCATGGGCTGGAACCAGCCAGTCAGCCCATGATAGATTCTGTTGGCGAGCCAGAATTGCGCTGTCAGCCAGCCAGCGATATCCAACACGTCCTGAGGTCCGATCCTGTTTGTCTCCCGGTCTAGAGGTTAGAGGATAGACGGAGACGGCAGATTTCACGAAATTTGCAAGAAATTTTAGCGTAGTCTGATAGTTCTCATGGCGAGTGGGCGTGCCGCATCTATGCTGCTATGAATCTCAATTCCGGCCCATGACGTGAGTCCCTGATCACTTCTGCCAGTCGCGCTGTAAGTGCAATGTGAAAAGTTAGGGTATGGCATATCTGTGGACGAGTTGACCTCGTACAGTCCCCAAAGGATTTGCTATCACAGCGTGTCGCTGCTTGGTTGTCCTGGACACTCCATGGGGTGGCGGTGAGGTTCAGTTTTATCATCTGTAGAGGTACGAATTGCATGCGTGGGGTGTGGTAGATGTGTAGTATGATGGAGCTATTCCTCGCCAGGGTTCTAGGGTATGTTGAGATGGTTCGTGGTTGGAGTATCACAGACATGTATCATGACCCTCAAGACTCACAAAAACGCAGCTCTAAACGGGGGGGGGTTGCTTTTGCGATTATCACATCGCACATTTCTTCTGAAAAAAAAAAAAAAAAAAAAAAAAAAAGCAAGTAAGGGAGGGAGAGTCTGAGGGATTAGAGAATACCAAGGTGGCAGAAAGGTGGTTCGCCGTGGCTTACTTGTTTTTTGTTTTTGTTTCTGTTTTTTTTTAATGCCTGCTACATCCACGACCAGGATTACAGCTGGGCCCCCAACCTTCCTGTTGGTATCATTCATGAACGGTCCTTTAGCCATTAGACTATCAGGCCCGATTCCCAATGTCATTATTTTTCCAAAATCTCAGTGCTGTGACCAAATTATTAGAATCCCTATTCACTTTGCCAGCCTTAGTAACAAAGGTCTTGAAAATGTCTTTTATATTTCAAAAAGAAAAAAGGTTGCGCAAACACCAACTGAGGCTGTCAATACCATAGCCTCACTACCATAACCGCATGCTTGGAAACCTCGACGGGAGTAGGACCATCCCTTGCAATGGTGAGAATGTAACATTTTCCAACGTTTGAATAATACTGGTTAGTGGTACTAATGTGAAGCCAATAGTGTTGAGACCTACGTTGCAGGAGTCAGGCTTAATTAGATGAAGACGATGGTAGATTTTTCGAACTTGTGAAGATTGAAATCGGGGAAGAAAGAAAAAAACGCCGCTATTCAAAGGGGGGGAAGACAGTGATGTTGAATCCCCCCACACAATCCAGGCATACACCAGAATGTAGATGCATTCCTCAACTTGTATATATTCTATCCGAGGGTATAGGTAACACCACGCAACCGAGAATTCCCATTTATGTAGTCCACTATGTACCCCCAAGTCCGCACACTTCTGATCCCAATTCCTAATGCTCTCTAACAAATAGTTGAAGAGGCCGTCATGCTATCGGCCGGTCTGGTGGTAGAATTTCGACTATACTGAGCGTGCTAGAATACATTACAGGATGACTACTAGCTCCACGTTGCCCCCCCCGAGCCACCTGCAGCCGGTAGCTTCACTACAAGTCCCTGCTCATTTCTAAGGTCCGGAGCCTGTCTGAGATTATACTATCAGGAAATAGCTTGTCCACTCTCAGTAATTTCAGCGTTGCCAGGCTAGGCTGCTCCTCTCTAGCAAAGTGGTGTCTGTCAAAATATTGGAAAATTCGGCCTTACCACAGGTGTTGGGGGAAACCCCCTAGAATGGTATATTGGCCCCGGGATATCTGGCCAACAAGGGTTTCCCTCCCACGATGGCTGGGGGAAGCAGCTAGAGGAAAGCTATATCATAGGACCAATTACTGTCTAGATTGTATAGCATAGATGAGAGGTGCGTCGCGCAGATCAAGTAATTGTGGTACTCGTCGCAATTCTGGTGGCTGGCAGCAGGCAAGTGCCCTGTTACGTACCAGAGCCCAGTGCTTCCAATCTTCCGGTCGGGGGGCCTAGCAAACTATACTCGAGTAGTAAACACTGTAGTCGGGAACAGGGAAACTTATCGTAGCCTAGAGGAAAACCAAAAGTGACGGTTGGTCCATCGTTACGGCTGCCTCACTCCAGACTCTGCAGACAGTGCCGCTAGGTGCGGGATAGGGTTTGCTGCCGAGGGGTAGAATTTGTTGTGATTACTTCTATAAATACAGGTATGATACCATATGCACCATTCCGACCAGCATCTGAGACTATCGCTCTTAAGCTCCAATTGCAACATCTCCTGCCACACCAATCGGGGAAGCCCACGCACGATGAAGCCACCAGCTGGTAAGGCAAGTTTGTTAGAGCGCTAGGAAATTGTACCGAGTGAAAAACTACTGATTTCACCACCCATAGAGTGCAGATACTCGGATCCGTCTCTTTCTGATGTGGTGTGCTGGTATGTGTGCTAATATAAAATCAAAGAGGTTTGGAAACTGGATCGAGTTGTTGATATATTGGGGAAACTACCTCTCTCTACCTCACCTAAGTTTCTGTCCACGCGAAATGAGTAAACACAGCACCTATACTGTTGCTCCTCTTATCGTGCTGACAAAGTGCGTTTTTCAGTTCAGGGAGTCAATAGACGTGCGACGTTCAAGGGGGCATCTCACTGGCCTAAAATATGTATTTCAGGAACCAAAAACCAAAGGAAATCTCCTCGGAATATATAGACGTATGTTCCAATCTCGCCTGAAATCAATAATAGCCTTGCCATCCCAAAACAAGATATTACATATGCAGAGATATCCTTATTTGTGGATAGTGAACCGTATTTTAACACATACAGAATGCGAGCAAGGATGGCTGACCGTGAGCATGAGTAGCATTACCATAAGGCGCGGTACCTGTACTACACTTGGGTGTCCGTAGCCTATTTGAGGGCGGTGGGATTACGGTTGTTGAGCGACGTGATAGTCACCAAGTTGAAATGTCTTATATACCCAAATTATCGGTATCAATACTCCTACAAGCTGCCTTCTACTTCCGGGACCAAGTTGAGGGAAGAGGAGTTCGTGTTATCGTCGCAACGTTGAAGTCAAGCCCAGACTTCCTTTTAGCTTACTAATAACATAGCGGTGGTTGGTCCTGCAGGTGG